AATATGAATCAGTCTGCTTTTGTACAGCTGATCTGGGGCTTTCTTCGATCGTCGCTTTTCCAAATGGTTTTTTATTCCATTCAGCTTATCATCACAAACCTCTAACTCGTCTACTACCGATTCACAAACCGACGAAATCATAACACCTACTTTCTCTTTTTCCTCTTTCAGATGACTTCTTAGTGTTCTCTCTGATGCGCTCCGTGAAGATACAATTGCGAGACCACGGATCCTTAGCTCGTGTTCCAGCTCATCTATCGTCAGATGGCCAGGATTCAACGCATGGTACTGTGCCGACAAAAGAGACATGCTAGTCTCCGCCATGTTCATTCAACAACACAGGAAAATCGTAGAATAAAAATTGAAAAGAACCTAAAATATTGCTCAAGTGGAGCTTCAACTCAAAATTAATTGAAAAATCCTATTGTTGCACACTTTTGTTGCTTGAAAGCAGATTATTAATAATTTGAAATCTTAAAATTTGTTCACGCTCCCTACTGAAGCAAATAATTTAAAAAAAAACCTAGTTTTAGCCTGTTTTTTTTTTTCAATAAACGTTTTGTTTTTCTTTGGTGTTTTATTCAACAGTCGAAATTCACACAATACTGATATAATTCCGGAATTTACCGCGAAAACTCCAACTATTCAACTTATATTGTTTTAGTAAGTTTTTCTCTATGTTGGTAGCTATTCAGACCATTGACTGACATCCAAGACCCCTCTTAATGAACAAATTCTGTTGAATTTTTATTCATCAACCAGGTTACCTATTTTGTGTGTTTTGGTTAAGTTTATTCGCGAAGTCTGGATGTTTTCCCAGATGGTATTCAAGTGTACCCGAGCACTGATATTCTACGCAAATTTTCAGTTGGGCGCCAAGTGTAACAGTTGGGGTACTCCCTGCCCAGCATTAATGAGACCCCCCTCTACACTACCACAGGGTCGGCATGCGCGCTCGAATATCACGGCCAAGGAAACACTCGAATATCCAACACACACAACACTTGTTTAGCTATAGGCAGCTTTATTGTTCCCACTTTCGTCCCACTTTCTTATTCGCTATCTCCTACCTCGTTTCGCCTGACGTTTCTTCTAATTCTTCAGCGCGGGCCCGCTGTTGGTCCTTCCACAGCCACTCCTTCACCTTCCTCAGCTTCCTTCTGGGCACTTTTCACAGGCCAGTCAGTTCCTTTCCTCGACTTGGTTCGCAAGCCGGTCGCGTACTTCGGTACTTTCCGCGACGGCTCTTCGATCTCTCTCTCTCTCTCTCTCTCTCCTCACTATACTCGTGGCGCGGCGATGGGCCGTTGGTTAGTATTCCCGGATACCTTCGTATCGGAAGATGCTCCGTGTCTAACCGCGCCGTATACCGTATGCCGAGATAACGCATCTGGGACAATGTTCTCCTTTCCTTTACGATGTTTGATCTCCATATCGTATTGTTGCAAAGTAATGCTCCATCGGCTCAAACGCGATGAGGATCTCCATTTGGCTCTCATTATAAAAGAGAGTGCCGATGAATCCGTTACGAGAGTGAACCGAGTGCCCTCTATATAGCATCGAAACTTCTCAATGCAGCGAAGGGCAGCCAACCCCTCCTTCTCTGCTGCATGATAATTAAGTTCGGCTCCTTTTAGCTTCTCTGAGTGGTATGCTATCACTCTTTCCACCCCACTGTGTACCTCAGTGAGAACACCTGCTAGAGCGGTATCACTAGCGTCTGTCTGCACGCAAAATAAAAGACTGAAATCGGGATTAGCCATAACAGGGGCAGTAATTAGCCTCTCCTTGATAGCTTTAAATGCATTTTCTGCTGCCTCATTCCACCGCACTTTCTTGGGTTTGTTTTTCAACAAATCGGTGAGTGGTGCGGTGAGTTCGCTGAATTTGTCGATAAACCTGCGGTAATAATTTACCATACCGAGGAATCTTCTCAGTGACCTTACTGACTTCGGGGCCTCGTATCCCAGAATCGCTTGGACTCGATCCGGGTTAGGCCGTAATCCTTCTTCTGAGAGGATGTAACCGAGAAAAGCAGTTCGTAGCAGCAGAATTTGGATTTCTCCAGATTTATAAATAAATTCGCCTCTTTTAATCTTCTTGCTAACTCCCTTAACTTCTGTACGTGCTCCTCAAACGTGTGACTCGCTACCACAATGTCATCCAGATACACGAAAATGGCTGGTTCTAGTTCTCCATGCCCCAAAATTTTGTCCATCAGCTTACTCAGCGTTGCCGGACTATTCACCAGTCCGAAGGGCAACCTGGTAAACTGGAAAAGTCCCTTACCTGGTACTGAAAAAGCACCTGTCCTCCTGCTGTTTTTAAGTTAACTCTAGTGGGTCTCAATTTTAATTTTAAATCACTAACTAGCTTCCTACCACCTATTCCTAACACTGTTCTAGCAGCACCACTGTCTAACAGTCCTACGATAGAAATTCCCCACAATTCCACTCTCACGAATGGTCTTGCGTCATCGCTGAGTGTTACCAGTATGGTTGCTATCTCCTCAGTTGTATCTCCACTCACTCGCGAGTAACCCAGCTGTTCGAGAGCTTCTGGAACTACTGGTCCTATGTGAGGTCTTGTGGAGTTGATTTGAAGACTATCTTACCTCTCTAGACAATCTTCGGACCGTTTTTTGACTGGCAATACGGGCAGTCTCTCGTTTTGAAGCCCGGAAAACCACAACGTTCACAGAACATCTTCCGTTCCTTGGTACAATCCTCGAAATTGTGACCTCCTTCATGGCAATTGTAGCATACATTCTTTCTCAATGGAATGTACGCATTGACGATTCTCTGAAGGGCATTAGTTCCACTAGGACCTGGAACAGGACTGCTTTGTCTAGTGTCCGGTTTCGGATTTGGTTTGATAGAATTGATCTGCTTTTGGTGGCTTTGGTCGACATTTTGTTGCTGTTTCCATGGACGTTTCTGAAACTGTTGGTTATCACCTGGTCTAAACTGGCGATTTGAATCTCCCCTATTCTCGTTTCTGTCCTGATACCTGCCACGATTGTCTTGGAACGTTTGCTGTTGTCTAATTTCATCGATCTGTACAACCTCTTTTCTCGCAAACCTAACATCCTTCCTCTGATACATGTGCCAGTTGATCGAATCGAACCGCTTACCAAAAGCCTTCATTCTAGGTATCGAATCAACGTTCGCAGCCAGCATTGCAATACGGAAATCATCTCGAGTATTGCGAAACAGAACATCGAACTTCCTCTTCTCATCCCACGGATTTGGCATGCCGCGAAAGATCCGGACCATGTCCAAGTAAAAGTCCTGGAACTTCTCCCTGGCACCTTGCTTCCGGTTGTTAGCTTGCCGTTCGTAGACGTAGTCGATGTCGACAGGTAAAAACTCCTTTTTCAACTCATCTACCAGCTCATTCCATGATCCTAGTTCCCTACTAACTTCCATATACCAGGATCTCGCCTTCTGTGTAAACAGATGGTGAGCTCCCTGAAACAGCTCAGTGTCCGAAAACCCTTCTGACTTAGCGTTAAATTCCACCTCCTTAAGAAATTCATTCAACCTTCTCCCATTATCCATCCCATCATATCGAACTGTCCATTTGTGAATTGGAAACCTACTATGCATTGATCGATTCCTCTCTCTTTCCCTGTCATTCATTTCATTTACTTTATTTGCTACCGTTTTCCTCTCCTCTGCGCTTTTCAGTGTTTCCAACGAATCATTCTTCTATTTAATCCACTCCAGAAAATCTACTGGTTTTGGATGAGCCTTTTCTACCCTTTTCTCCTGTCGTACTCTTTCCTCAATTCGAGTGCTGTTGTTGGTTTGAAGTGGGGCATCCTGTGGCTGACTTACGGATTGTTTTGATTCCAGCACTGTGATCCGTTGGAGCAATAGACTCACAACTGACGTCAGTTGCTTGATCTCATTCGCCAATTTATTTCTCTCACTATCCACCTTCTCAGACTCACTACCACCAACAGACTCTCCTCTCTAAGCTCAGTTATGCTCTCCTCAGCGGAACTCTGGACTGGATTTTCATTCTCGTTTTCCTCTTGCTCCTGATCAGCGTTCATGTTCTCGAAAGAGAATATGAATCAGTCTGCTTTTGTACAGCTGATCTGGGGCTTTCTTCGATCGTCGCTTTTCCAAATGGTTTTTTATTCCATTCAGCTTATCATCACAAACCTCTAACTCGTCTACTACCGATTCACAAACCGACGAAATCATAACACCTACTTTCTCTTTTTCCTCTTTCAGATGACTTCTTAGTGTTCTCTCTGATGCGCTCCGTGAAGATACAATTGCGAGACCACGGATCCTTAGCTCGTGTTCCAGCTCATCTATCGTCAGATGGCCAGGATTCAACGCATGGTACTGTGCCGACAAAAGAGACATGCTAGTCTCCGCCATGTTCATTCAACAACACAGGAAAATCGTAGAATAAAAATTGAAAAGAACCTAAAATATTGCTCAAGTGGAGCTTCAACTCAAAATTAATTGAAAAATCCTATTGTTGCACACTTTTGTTGCTTGAAAGCAGATTATTAATAATTTGAAATCTTAAAATTTGTTCACGCTCCCTACTGAAGCAAATAATTTAAAAAAAAACCTAGTTTTAGCCTGTTTTTTTTCAATAAACGTTTTGTTTTTCTTTGGTGTTTTATTCAACAGTCGAAATTCACACAACAATGATATAATTCCGGAATTTACCGCGAAAACTCCAACTATTCAACTTATATTGTTTTAGTAAGTTTTTCTCTATGTTGGTAGCTATTCAGACCATTGACTGACATCCAAGACCCCTCTTAATGAACAAATTCTGTTGAATTTTTATTCATCAACCAGGTTACCTATTTTGTGTGTTTTGGTTAAGTTTATTCGCGAAGTCTGGATGTTTTCCCAGATGGTATTCAAGTGTACCCGAGCACTGATGTTCTACGCAAATTTTCAGTTGGGCGCCAAGTGTAACAGTTGGGGTACTCCCTGCCCAGCATTAATGAGACCCCCCTCTACACTACCACAGGGTCGGCATGCGCGCTCGAATATCACGGCCAAGGAAACACTCGAATATCCAACACACACAACACTTGTTTAGCTATAGGCAGCTTTATTGTTCCCACTTTCGTCCCACTTTCTTATTCGCTATCTCCTACCTCGTTTCGCCTGACGTTTCTTCTAATTCTTCAGCGCGGGCCCGCTGTTGGTCCTTCCACAGCCACTCCTTCACCTTCCTCAGCTTCCTTCTGGGCACTTTTCACAGGCCAGTCAGTTCCTTTCCTCGACTTGGTTCGCAAGCCGGTCGCGTACTTCGGTACTTTCCGCGACGGCTCTTCGATCTCTCTCTCTCTCTCTCTCTCTCTCCTCACTATACTCGTGGCGTGGCGATGGGCCGTTGGTTAGTATTCCCGGATACCTTCGTATCGGAAGATGCTCCGTGTCTAACCGCGCCGTATGCCGAATGACGGACACTACGGGGTCTGAACACGCCGTGGATGAATTGCCAGTGGTAAACTACGGGGTCCTGGATGGTTCTGCACCTCACTCTCCTTCTTCACTTTTTTTCACGTCCTCACGGTTTTTTCACTGGTTTTCGAACTTGCTTGAACTAGCTTTACGAAGTATCGCTGTTGAGTATCGCCAATCAAATAATTCTCAACGATGGCGGCTGATCTATCCTCTCTCGTCCTCGCTGAGCCATCGTCCTTCCGCCCTATTTCGCCTCATCATGGCCCCATTATGCCACCTCCTAATGGCCTCCAAATCCAGTAAACAGTGCCATCTGGTGGTAGGTAGAGGATCTTCCTGTCGTTTAGTGGTGTGGCTGTGTACTGTCCAGTGGGTGATTTTGTGGGCGATGGGTGGTGTTGGTAGCTTGTATTCAAACCTTTCCTTGGCATATTGTTATACATAAAATACGATATATATATATATATTTATATATATATATATATATATATATATATATATATATATATATATATATATATATATATATATATACAGGGTGTTTGGTTCCAGGTTTTACATATTTTCAGGGTAGATAGGGCTCCTAAAGTTATGAAAAAATCCCCATGAAACATAGGGTCGGAAATGACTGCTAAGTGAGTTATTCAACATTTTATGTTTTTTTGTATTGCCAACTTTGCTATATTTTTATAATATTAATATGGTTTTCTGATTTCAACATACCAAATGAAAGATAAAAATCTTAGTTCTTGAAAAAGAACTCGATTAAAGTTAATTATCATACATTAAAATTGAAAAGTATGTTGAAAGTGCCAAAAAACTGGTGAAATTTCATACATTTTAGTGTTTATAAGTTGAAAATTTTCATTTCTGTTTATTTAGTTGTTTTACAAAACATTTTCCATGCATTTCCCTAGATTTGTGCCTTTGGTAGTAACCTTGTAGGCTTTATGGTTTCTTCGTAACTATTGATTTAAAACAGCCATAAAAACTTGTGACGTTTTCATAAAATGCGCTATAGTCACCCTATTCGTTCGTACGTTCGTCTGTTGCAGTGGACTACGCACATGAAAATTTGGTAGAATGTTATTGTAAATGTTTAGCTACATTCTTGACTTTTGATTACCGCACATCTCCTGCGCCGAAAGAAAACATAACTGCGGAGATGTTTCGCGGTATCGAATATTGCTCAGTCTCAGCAGAAAACACAACGAGAGACACCGAATCGGCGAATTCTGAGAGCGGAAGGGAGAGAAGTAGGTAGTGGTAATAAGTCGATGTCCTTTTTATTTCATAGCACTCGCAGCTCAGCTGCGGTGCTGTTCCGATGGAGGAGTGTGGAGCTCCGCTGCATCTGTATACACACTTAGAATTTTTACAGGAGTTAGTATTTTTACTGGATTTTTGGATTACTAACTCGGTTAAAATTCAAATGACTGTTATTCGTAAAGGATGGATAAAATCGAAAATTTTTATTTTTCATCATTACACGGGGTTAACAGAAGTTAGTCTGTAAATTTTCGTAACACATTTTCTCAACTTTGAATTTTTCACAGATTTTTTAAATTTTACCGAAGAGTTCCGTAATTCAACAACTCAGTAAAAATTGCTGACTCGATAAGTGTGTACTGATGTATGGTTGGTGAAGAGGCTAGCATGTGGAGGGTATTCTCGGGCTAGTGAATGCCACCCATCCCCACTTATAATTCAGTAATACACTATTTATTCATTTCTGTTTGTTATGTTTACCAAGTTTGCAAACAGAAATGAGCATTGCAGTGTAGTTACGAATTTTCCAATTCATTGACTTCAGATAACTGTTCAAAGTCCCAGATTTTTTATAACGGAATCATGAACAAAAAACCAAAGACCACTGTGACAAACGTGATCGGTCTGAAGGGATCTTTACATAGAAATTGTTTAAAGGTGATACGATCCAGAACCTCGGGCTCTGGCTCCACTTCGCTTTTTCCAGGAGGCCATTATCTGCTACCGGAAAACATACAATAACAAAACTGTGAAAATAATTTAGTGCCTCAAATCGCAATAGTGCCCGAGATTAACTCTCTAGAAAACTCGAAGTGGCAGTGAATTTGGACGAGTAAAAGATTTGACGCGCGCACATACGGGACTTCTCAACTTTTAAGCGAAGCCTAACTGGACGAACCAGTAGGGTCGCAGAGAATACTAACTTCTTATTTGGTGAAGTCTTTCGATGAGCCTACTGGGAAGTCGGGTGGAGCTTCAGAATAAGAATCTTCGATTTATTGAAATACATTTTCCTTTTATACAGTTTTAGTTACATTGATTTGTAAATGTTGAAAAGAGTCATTTCGGTAAAGAAGTGAGACGACTGTTGTGGCACCAAAAATGCTCATAATAGCAATATCGGAAATAATGTTTATATTTTGGTTGAGCGCCCGGCGTTGTCATTCGAAACCTTTCTTGCTGCGCGAACAACCATGGCCCACCCAGGAAGGGTGGAAGAGAGCAAGAGAGCGCTGCAGTTCTAGTGACGAGTGACTATCATATGGGTTGTGTAAAGTTGCATAATTGCATTCTTGCCCGAGCGATGGCTCGGTGCCTGGAGTGGATAATTTATTAGCATGGTTCATATTGACTAGGGTTTTGTTAGCTATGTGAGAATGGTACTACACTCCTACTACACCTCTACATACTCCCCATACTACACCTCTACATACCTCCCATACTACACCTCTTTTTGTGTAGCTGGCGTAGGAGATGCGCGCGTGCATCGAAAACATTGTCGTTAAATGGCCAATATTATTGTCGCATTGTTGCTAACGTTTGTAACCGACTGTTACAAATTGTTAGTATTTTTTTATCTGTGCTTTTATTTTGTGTACAGTCACGTCTCTAGAGTTAAGTGGTGTTGGATTAAATGTAGGGTTAGTAGTAGGGCTAGTAATTTTTAGTAAAAATGTACCTATTGTCTATTAAAAATGTTATAGGCTAGTAAATGTTAGTAAGAATGTACTTAGTATCTATTAAAAATGTTATAGGTTAGTAGAATTTGAATTTTGTACAAAATAAGTGGGGTGAATCGCATGCAAGCCAGTGGGTACAACAACTAAAGGATAGAAGAGTAGACCAGCAGGCGAAGTGGGTCAACATTTACAAAGGTGGTGATAACAACACCAAAAGTAAGAACAAAAAAGTTAGTGAAAGCGAAAGTGAGACGAGTAGCGAAGAAAGTAGCTCAGGGGAGGAAAGTGACAGGCCGAAAGGTATGAAAAGGAGACCACGTCCAGTAGCCGAGTGGAAGATGAAGTACGACGGAAAGGATGAAGGTAAAAAGTTGAATAAGTTCATAGCGGAAGTAGAGTTCATGGCGGAAGCAGACAACCTAGAGAAGCGTGACCTGTTCAACGAGGCGATTCACCTTTTCAGCGGCGAAGCTCGAACGTGGTATATGGAAGGAAGAAAAAACCGAGATTTTCGGAATTGGCGAGAGTTGGTCGCTGAGCTTAAGTTGGAATTCCAACCACCGGATATGGATTTTCACTACGAGCAGCAAGCGGTGCAACGTAGGCAGAAACGGTCTGAGAAATTCCAGGACTACTTCAACGCGGTGATGGAAATCTTTCGGTTTATGGCTGTCCCTCCGAGCGAACAGAGAATGTTCGACATCATCTTTAGGAACTTAAGGTCCGACTACAAGAACGTGCTGGTAGTAAAAGGAATCAGATCGTTAAAAGCCCTGAAACAGTGGGGAAGGAAACTTGACTCAGCTAATGTTTGGATGTATCGCAATAAGGACACTGAGGTGGCTGCAAAAACTGCACATGTCCATGAAGTTAGTCGAGAATTCCCCAGGAGGGATACGAAACCGGTTGAAAGAGGGTGGAAATCTACCCCACCTACAGGTAAAATCAGTAGACCGGATAGGAAACAGGATACGGCAATGCCCAGGCAGTACGTTCCAAAGAAGCAGGAGATCGTGAGAAATGAGGCTAG